GGCTCAGAGTTTTTTATTTTAAGTTTGTATTCTATAAATAATTTTAAAGCAAAATTTGGGCCATACATAGATATGTTAGGGGCACACATGAACAAAATAATAATAAAATATTTTTAAGATGAACAATTCCCAGAATACCTTTGAAAATTTCAGGTTCATTTTTGTCATTTATTTTTACAAAAAATATTTAATTTTTTTTCCCAGGTTCACCCTAATTTTATGATGGGACACCTAAAATTTCATCCAAAAATATTTTGTAGAAAAAAATGAAAAATAAAACAGTGTCTAGCGTGACATTGGGGTATGAACAATAGCAGCCGTTCGATTCAGATTGAACGGCTAAGAAGTGGGATCACATGAAAGTTATAGGTTCTTGGGCAAGATAAAAGCACTTCCCTTACAAAAATATGCTAAAAAGTCATTCATGGGATCTACAAAGTTTACAAATGTCAAAGAAAGTGGGAGTTATTTTCACTCGCACTCTCTCTCGAAATGAATTATTGTTCAAATTATAGTTAAAATTTTGTTCAAAATTTTGTTCTCTATTAAAGCCAATTTTGTAATTATAGTCAGAAGTATTAAATTTTTTATTATAAAATCGAAAATTAAAAAAAAACATATGAAATGTCAAGTTGTTTTATCATTGGGCTATTATCCAAAAATAAAGGAAAGCTCTCGCCGTTAAAATGTCATAAAAATAGGATTTAGTATGTCTCGTTTCCTAAAATTTTCGTGTCTTTTATTGTATTGGCATAGTCATTTAAAAATATTTAGAATTTAAGACTTTATCAATTATATCATTCATTAGATGTGTTATGAATTAGATATTTCTCCACAGTAAGAGTGATTTACTTACATAACTTAAAATTTTAGGTAAAATAAGAAATGCTCTACTTATAGGCAGAAATTATAATGAATGTGGGTCAGCCCACTCATTTTTAGTTTTTCTATAATGCCTTTCGGTCATCCTGAATTTTGATTTTTAAATTTTATTATTATTATTATTATTATTATTATTATTATTATTATTATTATTATTATTATTATTAGTTTTTTCTTTAGTAGGGCAGTGCCCCAACTTTCTTTGTAATGAAAAAACTAAAAAAGAAACTAAAAAAATTCAAAATTCAAATTGATCGAGGGTCATTATGAAAAAAATATAAGAAAAAGTAGATCGACCAACCTTCATTGTAATTTTCACCTATAGTTGGAGCAGTTCGAATTTTACTAGGATGTCTACGGAAAACACTCCCACATTAATTGAAATCCCAAGAAAACCAAGCTCAGTCTCGGCTCAGAATCTTCGAGTCCCTGACCGGGGCATTTTTTTTTTGTTTTTTTGTTTATTTAAATATCTCTGTTCTCAAATGTAGTTTTTAAAAAAAATAAAAAAATGAAGGGCATTTCCCCACTTGCCCAAGAAAGAGAGGGCCTTGGAAAGTGGCCAAGGCGTGGCCACCACTCTCCTTCCCTCTTCTCTCTCTCCCTCTCTATCTCATCTCTCTCTTAGATTTCTCTTGATGAGATGATGCGCTGCTCTGAATCTTGACGATTGAGAAACCAATCACGAGGAGTGAGAAGCCATGGTTGAATCTAGAGAGAGATTCATCAAACTCCGCTTAAAATTTAAATTATTTAACATTCTTGCTCTTAGTGTATTTAATAAATTTGAAAACCCACTTTGATATGTTATTGGATGATCTCTATGATTTTTGATCAAATATCAAAATTAATTGTGACCACTTTATACAAAAGATAAATAATTTTATTATATATTTATCCATTTAATATTACATAATAAAGAATGGGTAAAAATCATTATATACAAACAGAAATAAGTATGGGTATCAGGAGAGTGAGATTGAGAGGGAAGGGAGAGAGAGAAAGAGATATATAGATAGAGAAAGTGTGTTTGGAGTACCTGGAGAAACACTATATCCATGTTCCCTTAGGATTCGAAAGCGACGGGCCACAGCATGTAGATCATTGCCTGACGACCCTCCGATGTTATCGGTGTAAATGGCATCAAGAACGGTTTTGATCTGGTCCTCAAAGAGGTAGCCAATTCCAAGCCGTTCGATTTTGTCGACGACTTCCATCTGAGCCATTGGATCATCAGTGGCCTCAAAAATAAGTGTGGCTTGTTGCCTTAGATCCTCGGCTCGGATCTTATACGACTCACCCTGCAATTCACCAAAATTATAGCTGAAATCAACAGGAATTTCTGGGAATGGGGATGCTAATAGCCTTATTTTAGAGCCAAGGACTAACCGTGTATTCAGTCCTTATGGACTGGATGGTGTCATAGTCCCAAAGATTGGGCCTATAATTTGCAGAGCGTCGAGGCGTCGATTCGAGAGTTGGAGGGCTCGAGGCGCCCCGCACCCCCCAGTTGAACCTTGGTGCACCCTTGGCTAACAGTGGGCTTGCCCTAGCTTCCGTGCGACCCTCGAGGAATGAAGATAGAGAGAGAGGAAACCTCACAGCCATTGTACTGCTTAGTGTCTAGCACCCACTTCAGACACCACGCATTCAAGACAACTTTATATATACTAACAGTTTTGATAACTTCCAAAAAAACATAAAAAATAAATAAATTGCACTTTTCATGTTGAGATGACATTCTACTTTTATGTCGGGCAGGTTTGAGTTGACGTGAAACCTTTTTCAACCTTTTCCAGCCTCAAGGTGGGTTGGTGAGTGGGTCGGTGGGTAACCCTCCCACAACCGTTAGTATAAAATTTTTAAAGGTTATTATTAAATTTGACATAGGTATAAAAAAAAGTTATTACATGAATATGAGATTTGATTTTTTTAAAGATTTATATCAAATTTAACGGTGATTTTTTAAAATCTTACACATATGCACGTAAAAAGGTCATATAAGATCATTATTCTTTTAGAAATACGGGCTTGACAATAAATATATTTTTAAATATAATTTAAACCTATTTTTAAGAGAATATATATTCTATAACATGGAGATCATGAATATGAAAATTAAATAAATTTTACAAAATAGAAATAATAATTATATTAAGATAACTTTTAAGCCGTTAGTTACAATTGTTTTTCGATAGACGGCCTATTTGCTTCCATCTTTAAAATAGATGTTTTATACTTCTGAACCGTATATTTTAGAAATGTGTTCCAGCCTGCATGAAACAATTGTTCAAAAAATATCTAAATATGCATACAATTTACATGAGAAATAACTCGAGCATGCTTTTTCTCATATTTGGAAAACACTATTGGAAACCCACTGACAGTGAGAGAATATAACAACTTTAAAAATTTGAGATAGTTTGTCCTTAAAAATTTTAAAATTGGTTATCTCTTTAAAATTTAGAAGTTGATATAGTTTCTCTCTCTAAAAATTTTGAGACATTTCTTCTCTCTAACAATTTGAAATTTGAGATAGCTTCTATCTCTAAAAACTTTGAGATAATTTCTCTATAAAAATTTTGAGATAGTTTCTCTCCATAAAAATTTTGAGATAGTTTATCTTTCTAAAATTTGATATATATCTTTCTAAAATTTGATATAGTTTCTCTCAAAAAAAATAGATGTTCTCTCTATAAAAATAAATTTGAGATAGTTTCTCTCTCTCTCTAAATTTTGAGCTAGTTTCTCTCTTTAAAAGTTTCTAAGTAGTTTCTCTCTATAAGGGTGC